TTATTTTAAAAATGTTTTGGAGGCTCCTATGAATTTCACTGGGTTGACTTCATTCCCAAAAGCCCAAACACATTCATCTCTTTGAGCTTCTCTGCAGAGAGCTCCTGCTGAGATAACTGCAGAAAAATACCAAGTTTTCTAGAAGGCTAGTTGAAGTACACTCTTTACAGATCTTTTGTTTTTCTAAACTGAGGCACCACTTTTGCTCTTTTTGTAAACTTAACAGAGAATTTTACAGTTATACCCATAGCTTTTGCCTTATACTGTACTTCCCTGAGAGCACCCTGAAATTGATCTTCGCTCAGAATTCATAATTAGCTTTTTTTTTTTTTTTTTTTTTTTTTTTTTTTTTTTTTTACTTTAGAAGAAGCTTGAGAATCTTCAAAACCAGTGAGCTCTGGCTCCTTGTTTTAAAGGCCTCTCCTTTGTTAATGTGTCTCCTATTGCATTGGTAATCTAAGCAAGAAGAAGAAACCAGGCCTTATCTTCAACAGTCAGGCTAGAAATAACTTTAGCTCATTCATTCAATTTATTAGGTACATTTTCTATCATCCCACATATTGCAGATGACAGTGATGCTACACCTGACATCACAGTAAGAATTCCTTACACCAGTTTCTAACAACGTGTTTCTCACTCCCCTGTAAGCCCTCACTAGAAACCATCTGCCTTTTTCTTTTTTTTTAAACATAAATGGGAAGTTTTATTAACATACAGCTCAAAAAATAAGCCAGACTAACCTGTTTAGGGTTACATATTTATATAATTAACTACAAAGAACAATAAGGAAGTGGTATGTCCAGAATCAGGATGGGGACCACTGGGCAGCACAGCAGATGATCCCAAAGGACAATCTCTGAGGTCTTCTGTGGCCTGGCAGGCATGTGATGACTATTGGCCAAACTGCACGAAGTTAAAAATATTTACCATCCAGTTCTTCAGAGAAAGCTTTCTAACCCCTACACTAAGACATAAATAGAAAACATTCAAAAGGTCCAGAATAATGGAAATGAAAAAGAGGGTTTAAATGTTCCCAAAATTTCTAGATTTAGATAATTGAAAGAAATCATAAAGATTTAATAAGCATACCCATATAAGGCTTTTTTAAAAAGCAAATAATACAATACAGCAGAAGAAAATTCTAATAAGCAGTTGGGGACCAAAAAACCATTCAGGAGCAAGCTCCCCAAAGTTCTTACTTCCACAAAAGCCTGGTTCATTTCTGAAGAAAACTGTTGGTATTTGTGCTGATTCCTATATGAAGAAACTTGGTTTTAGGAGAGCTCAGACAGAAGTTTCCTGCATAGTCTGATTGTACAGCAGAAAGAACAGAATATATAACTAATTATCTCCAGTATAAGTAAATAAAATGTAATAAATATATTGGTTTTAGGTTTCACACAAGAAGTTTGAACTTCAAAAAACTTACCATAAATTTTTATGCTAGTTAGTTTTTATGTTAACTAACTTAGTTACTTAGTTAGCTAGCTCACTGGCCAAGAGTCAAAAACCAACCTTCAAGCATCCTTGGAGAAAAAGAGCTGTCGTAATCCAGCTACACAGGAACTTTGTCTTTAATAGGCAAACTCAGTAGTGGAGGAATGAAGAATTAATACATTGGAGAAAAAAATTTTAAAGTATTATTTGTCCTGGCATCTATGAATTCAATTCTTTGTTATCTTACCAGGGAATTAAAAGGCAATGCTTAAATTCAATAAACTACAAAGTAGCACTTACAACATATTTTTTAGGGCTATGTTGGTATGGTAGGCAGCTCTAAGATGACCTCAAAATTCCCTGATGTACATATGATCACGTGCCCTTGAATTTCAGTGAGATTTACGAAGATGATTGGGTGTTGCTCTGTGATTAGATTACATTAAATGGAAAGATTAAGCTATTTCTCCAATGTAACTAGGGTTCTAAATTAGCCAATTTTCAGTTAATCAAAGAGAGAATAATGTGGGTACAGCTGACCTAATCAGCTGAATACTTAAAAAGACTCTAGAGGTGGGAGAGAGGAGAGTACACTCCTTCTGCCCTTGAAGAAGTGAAGGTCCACGGTGTAACTGTCTATGCAGATGGGCAACCAGGGGGGGAGGCAAGTGTCTCAGTTCTACAACCATGAGGAACTAAATTTTTCTATCAGCCTGAATAAACTTGGAAGAGGACTCCATTTCAGATGAGAATTCAGTGTGGCTATGACTTTGGTTCCAGCCTTGTGAAATCCTGAGCTAAGGACAAAGCCATGCTCAGCTCCTGATCCATAGAGATTATGACATACAAACATGTGCTGTTTTAAGTTTCTAAATTTGTCATAATTTGTCACGTACCAATACATTCAGAGTAACACACTTAGCTAACAGGATAAAATTAAGGAAGGATAAGTTGATTCTTGGCAATATTATTTCATTACTGGGGGGGAGGGTGGACATTCCCTCACCCTCTTTCATTAGTTTTAACATTTCAATACTGAGATATTCACTCAACTAGATCCTTCCACGTGCATTAGCCCATTTCATAACAAAAAAGCAAAGAACAAAAGAAAAATAACATTTCTCCCCCAGAAAATGTATCAGAAATCATGTTAGAAGAGAAAAGAGATATTTAATAAAAAGACCTTTATATAAAAGAGGTCTTTCTGATCCCAGCAATGACAAAGATGTTTTCAGGATGAAGGGAAGCAGTATGCAGGTAAGAGTGGGAGGAAGACTAATAAAAATAAAACAGGTCTGATGGCCATGGACTCAGTGTCACTAACATGATGGGATCATGCTGCGAGAAAGACACACCAGTGTGGAGGACTAGCATCGTCCTTTCAATCCAGGACATTCCATCATAAATGCCCTGAAATGATACGGGAATTGAAAAAACACCTGAGCTATAATTGGGAGCCTACAGGAATTCTCCTCTCTCAGTAGAGACAATTTTTGACATAGATTACTCTCTGAAATTAGATATCACCCACCATATTTTGCACCTTCTGTTTCCTCATTGTTCTTGCATGTTCCTGAGTTCTCACAATAAAGGCAGATAGGGCTCTGGGCACCTCATAAGGTGATGATATGAAAAGTAACAATCTGAACCTATACTTGGCTGTAGCTAAATAAAAACACTTGAGATTGATTCGTTGTGGTCAAAATTATAAAAAATAGACCATGCTTAGTTCACTATAGAGAAAACCACCCCAAGCAGAAAAGCAAACAAAAAACCAAGAGGAAATCACCTTATGGGAAGAGGACAGGGAGATGGGATAGTTGGGACAGAAAACAATTAATTTTCATTATGTTTATCTATTTTTTAGTTTAATTAAAATATATTATTTTGAATGTACATGGAAAAAAGCCAAAACATTTTAGAGATTGATTGACTGATTGATTGATTGATTTTTAGAGAGTTGGGAAGAGGGGCAGAGGGAGAGGGAAAGAGAGACTCTCCAGCAGACTCCCTGCTGAGTCTGGAGCCTAACATGGGGCTCGATCCCACAACAGTGAGATCATGACCTGAGCCAAATCAAGAGTCAGACAGAACCACCTAGACACCACAAAGCCAAAACATTTTATATATCCAGAAAGTATAATGTGTGTCCTCCTAGTCCAAGTTAAACATTTGATTTAGATTATCTTGTGGTTTTCATAATATAACTTAAGTGCATTTCCCTAATCTTCATACGAGAACGTGAAGAATGCAGTTTGTAGTCTTATTATACACATGCACACACACATATATATTTTAAGCTTTTATGTATTTATTAAACAGAGAGAACAAGCAATCACAAGCAGGGGGAGGAGCAGCGGAGAGGGAGAAGCAGACTCGCCACTGAATAGGGAGCCCAATATGGGGCTCGATCCCAGGACCATGGGATCATGACCTGAGCCCAAGGCAGATGCTTATCCCACTGAGCCACCCACGTGCCCCTTTATATTTATATTTTAAGAATTAAAATACACAGGCTCTTTTCTCTTCCTGGCTCTTTATTAAGAATCAATTTGAGGTTCTTAATTATTATAGTTTAATTGAAATAGAAAACAAAAAAGATGTTTCAATATGAATTTTTTAAAAAAAAGTATATGCAACAGTTTTTAAAAGGGGAATTGGCTTTTGATATTTGTGAGGTTAGGAAAACCCTATCCAGGTCACAGGCATCAGACCTTTTTATGTTCCCACACTTTCTCTGACACACTCAGGACCCCTCAGTTAAATGGGTTACTCCCTCCCCAACATTAAAAAGGAAATGTTCAATATTTTACACATAACTTTTAAGAAAAAGGCTTGGGGTTGATTGGCGAATAAGATCTTCAATTTACATCTCAGTGACTTTTTACTGATGTATAACCATAAGGCAAGAAAGACATGTAGGGCAGAAAAATAAGTATTGCAAATTTATTTGATCAGGCTTAGATTCCGTTTACCCTTGCAAAATCTAAAAATAATCACATGGGAACCACCTATTTGGCCCAAGATTCAAAATTACTTTGCAGAACTCAGGACCATCAAGAGAAGAACACAAACATGTTCCCTCTAAAGTCTGATGATGCACATGAGGGAGCTGTCATATGACACTTACACCTCTAAATTGAAACATATAGATATATAGATATCCAGAAAGAACTAAGTTCCAGAAAAGCAAGATGAAGATGGGACTTCCCAATTTACTATGACTTAACAAAGTTCTGAAATGACATTGATATAGATCATTTGGTGCAAATTATTTTATTTGAATTTCTGCAAAAAAAATTCACAAGAATATATGCATAAAATATATTAAATTTAATGTTGAACATATCCATTAAATCACAATAGTCCTGAAATTCTTTATCTTGGGGCACTGTTATGGCAGATATAGGTGCACAAATTTCACCTACTTTATTTTATTTTATTTTTTAAAGATTTTATTTATTTGTTTGACAGAGAGAGAGAGAACAGAAGTAGGCAGAGAAGCAGGCAGAGAGAGGGAGAAGCAAGCTCTCCGTCGAGCAGGGAGCCTGATGCCTGGCTCAATCCCAGGACCCTGGGATTATAACCTGAGTTGAGGGCAGTCGTTTAACCGACTGAGCCACCCAGGTGCCCCAAATTTCACTAATTTTGAAGCACATGATTTCAAATGTATGAAAATTGTATCATAAGACATGATTTGAAACATTTTACAGATCCCAGAGGTAGAAAATTAGCAATAATATAAGAGGTAAAGTCATGCTCTTAGTACTACTGAATCTTCACTGCCCACCCCTCCCACTCCAAGAAACACTTTAATAAGCTCTTTTTTTACATATAAAACGACTTTCATCATCACAGCATGCGTCCAAAATACCTTGGCTTGAGCCATACATTGTGCATTTCTCTGTATTTAATTTTTGAAGTAATGGCAATCTGTAATGAAAAATAAAATGTTAACATATAAGAAAAGGAAATGAGACTACTCAAGGATAGTGTATTTTTATTAAATGATAGAATTTTTTAAAGCACTTGAATGAGATATTAACATATTGAGTCAATTGATTTTTATGCAAGAGCCATGTTTTCACAATTTCAAAGCACAGTATTACAAAAACTCAGCTACTGCCTCAATAATCAACAGCATTAAGGACAAGAATTTCATGTTTTTCCTTCTGTTTTCAATGGTTTTGATATATGGTATGCTTCTATTTTGTTTAAAGATATACTGGATAATCAAGTCTGAGAAAACAAATCCAAGCATAAGATTCATCATTGTCTGAGGCTGCAAATCCAATGTTTATGAATGAAAATGAGGACCAAAGTTTACAAATATACAGAAAATAACCTCAGAATATTTGAAACATGGGAGTATGCTGAAAATAACAGACTCAAGAAAAGAAAATAATATGCTATTTTCCCTGCACAGCTTCTGTGAAGGTAAGCATCTGTACATGCACGTAGGCATCCAAGGGCTGATATGAGGCCAAAAAAAAAAAAAAAAAAAATCAAAAACTGTGTTATGGTCACAAGTACACTAACTTCATGTCACTTAAGCATAAATTTGGATGACCTAGATGGAGCTAAAATTGTTAGATCGCCTCTCTTTTCTATATTTTCATGACTTAGATAGGTTATCCTAGCTACAGTGCTCCCAGATGTTACAGTATCTGGTGAGATCTACAGGTAAACGCATAAAGATCTAAAAGAGAAAGAAAGGAGAGGAGAGGAGAAAAAGGTAAGATGAGGGAAGGGAAGGGAGGGGAAAGGAGAGGAGGGGAGGGAATGTTAGGGAAGGGAAAGGAAGGGAAGGGAAAGGGAAGGTAGGGCAGGACAGGGCAGGGCAGGGCTAAAAGGGAATTTGACTGCCATAAACTTACAGATCTTGGGAGACAGGGGAGCCATCTTCCCACAGCCAGGCCTTTTTGTCTTTATGGTAAGAGAGTCCAATCCAGTAAAAATATGTACTGGAGCTCATAAAATGCTGATTAGAAACAGAAACAAACATATTAATCAAATTTGAATGTATTCCAGGAATAATATACTTTTAAGAAAGTGTCAGCATCAAATTTAGCTTTTTAATCACAGAAACTGAAATAATTTTTAATGTCCAGTTTAAAAAACATAGTCGCATGCCTCATATTTTCTTCCTTATCGAAAGTATAGTTACATGCTTTTCTTCCTTATGTTATTTATTCACTAATTTCCACAAATATCATTTATGATACACAAATAAATGTCACAGAATACCACTTCAAGGAATAGAAAACATTAGAAGGAAGTAAGAGTTTTCACGGAACACCTCCTTCAAAGAAGATTACAATCAAATTTGATCCCACATCAACAGTATCTGGAGGATAAATTTCATAGATATAGTTTACTTAACTTATACTCAAGACAGTTTCTTAATGCAGCTAGAGAAATTTTTCACTTTTTCTAAGTTGGGTAATTTTTTTATCAGACGTTCCGTACTTATCGCACATTAAATCCCAGAATGATGACAAAAGATGTAATTACAAAAGAAATTATAAGTCCAGTTAATGAACTAAAAATTATAAAGTTATTTTATTAGTCTTTGAGTAAAAATAATGGCCCATTATTCGTTCTTTGAATTCTCTCTAAAATGTTGCTTGTACTTTATCTGGACTGTAACTTGATTTTTATTCCTATAATATAAATCTTTGAGAAATTTTATGTAGGTTTTATAATGATTGTTTCAAGATATAGCAAATTAGCAAGTCAGTTCAAATAATAACCATCCATTTACTATAATTAAAGACAAATTATTCAGCTTACTTATAAATATACTTAGATAGCATATTTTCCTAGGTCAAAGAAAATGTAGGAAATCAGAATTAAATACATACCAATTTATCTTCGTTTTTCAACTGAAGTAGACTGGAATTCTGAGAAGCACAGAAACTATGACTTTCTGTCCAATTTTTTAATTTACCAGAAAAGAAGTAGCAGTTGCACTGGTACCCAATCCAGCCTTTTGGACAATAACAGCAGTTAGAGCCTAAGAAAAAAAGAAAAAAGACTTATGACATTCAATTTTTTCAATGTTATTTACTCATTCAAAAATCATTTGTTATTTCTTCACTATTTTCCACAAATATTCTTTGAGAATCTACTACACATACAACAGTTCAGGGGCTATTAATGTGAACAAGTCAGACATACTGTTTTTCCTAATAGAGATTATATTCAAGATATAGAGAGCCAGAACGTATAATTTCCAATCATTTATCAAGTAGATTTAATGATAATTTTGGTAAGTATACACAAGAGTAAGTCAGTATGTTGAAACATTGGGTAGCAGAGTGTAAATTAGAGGGCGGCTGAAGAACCTTTTTGAGGAAATGATCCCAAATTGAGCTCTGCTGTATAAGTAAGAATAAACGAGATGAAAGAGATATGTAAAGGAAAATATTTTAGCATATTTCCTGAGTCAGAAAAGAATATAGCACAAATTGGAGAATTTCGATGTTTGGATATTTTATTTTCAAAATAGAGATAAATAAAACAATGAGCTTGAAGTCTGATACTACACAATTTCCCAGTGATAGTGTCTTGAACATTTACTCTCCTCAGTGATAAAAGTCAAGACACATGGTAGGTACTCAAATCTTTGTCAAGTGAATGGTTCTGAAGTGTAGGGTGGAGTGGTCCTTACTAAGAGCTGGAGGGTGGGGTAAATGGAAAGATATTGGTCAAAGGGGACAAACTTCCAGTTAGAAGGTGAATAAGTTCTGGGGATCTAATGCACACAGTTATGATTATAGTTAGCAATACTGTATTATGTACCCGCAAGTTGCTAAAAAAGTAGATCTTGAGGGCTCTCACCATAAAAAAAAAGATGGCAATTCTGTGACATGATAGAGGCATTAGCAAATGTTATGGTAGTAATCCTTTTGCAACTATAAGTGTATCACATCAATCTGTTGATTACCTTAAACTTACACATTATATGTCAATAATATCTCAATACAGATGGAAAATAATGTTAAGGGAAAAAAAAGACAAATATGATCACAGAAGATGGTGAGACAATTTGGAGATCATTTGGAAAAAATACATTAAAAAATTGGACTTTGAGCTGGCTTTCACTGGATAAGTGGGTTTAGAATAACAGAAATCTCTTCACTATATTCTGAGTCATGCAAGAAGCAGAAGCAAAGGTGAAGAGATATAAAAATATGAGCTATGAGCAAACCAGCAGGTAATTAGGATTAACCATAGTATTTACTGTAACTTATTTTTTTATTTGTTACTTAAACATGAGCACTCATATAGGAAAAAAAATGTCATTTCAGGTTAATATTTTCCTTATTACTTAAATATGTAAATGATCCATGTTCAATGTAATTTAATGCTTTTTACATTAGAGAAAAATGAAACATGACTATCCTACAATTAGTAGGTAAAACTGTATTCTTAAGTGTACTATTCCATCATGCTCAGTGTGAGAAAAACAGAAACTACCAAAACTAAGATTTTCCAAAGTATGGAACCTACCTTTCTGGACTTCGCTGATTGCATCTAGAGACAATGTTGGCTGAATACTTTGTTTAGGATATACTGTAAGAAATGATTAAAAATTTACTTCATTAGATACAAGTTTATGAAATAATAAAATATTACAAATTAGTAAAACGAAACCTTTATTATTGAATGGTTTCACCATAGTTATGGTCTTTATACAAACTTGCCTAGAAAAACTTACAATTTTTCAACAAAATTCCCATAATAGCCATCAAAATAAGGCATGTTACTCCTAAGATCCCAGAAATCAAATTCCATGGAGTGGTCTGAGAAGCTGTAGTGAAAGAGAAATACAGTGATTATTTAAAGAACAAACTTCTTAGAAGTAAATACAGTAAGAGAAAATCCAAACATCCTTTGGTTTGATAACCCAATAATCTTGCCAATGAAAAGCTGAAAAATGAAAATATTCCCTTCAGAACTTGCTCCAATATCCAAATTTTTATGTGCCATAATTTATTCATTACTGAAATTATCTATAACTTTTCTCCTTTACCAGTCCTGTCCCAGTAAAGTGGACTTACCATTTATTTCTTAATTCCACAAAGAAGCTTAGAGATCCAGAGTAAGAAGACATCAGCAGGCATCAAGTTGTGTTTTATAGACTTACATAACAAGAATCACAAGATAATATGATTCCCATTAAGTAGATAAGAAAACGTCAGATCCATTAATAATGTTATTTTCTCCAGGTATCAAAGCTAGTCAGTATCCAAGTCAGAAATCAAATGAAAGTTTGTCTAGACCCAGAGTCTTTTACTTAGCATCTTCTATCATTGCCGCAATAGTACTTGGAAATGTGCCCTTCTAGTCACCTCAGTGCATTCTCTACCTACGAAATGTCCAGCTGCTTGTAGCTTTGTAGAGGTTTTTTGATAAGGAAGAGAAGACAGAGGAACACTCCCATCCTGGTGTGACGTATGGGTAATACCTTGGGGACCTGGATTCATTTCACCTTACATTAAGTTATGATATATTAGCAACCATTTTTTTTTCAAGAACATTATGCTTTCTCATACCAAAAATTACTGCTTTTTGGCATTTACCCTAAAACAAATTAATGTTAGGAGATGAAGCATTAACATTAGCACTCTCCCAAAGAGTCACTAACAGACATACTATTAATCTAGGTGACTTAGGGTGTCATAACAGAAATGGTAAATTTTTAAAAGAACACTTGTAAGCATTGTCACTAATTTACTTCGGTGCTAGCATAAATTCAGTTTGCATTCAGAGTTTAGAGCTTATCATTGTCAGAAGCCACTCTTTAAACCTGCTGGAAAAGTTTCACAAAATCATTTCTAAGTTACAGATAAAGAATCAGAAGTGGAGAGCACGGACACATGGAAAACCTAAAAATGTCCATTTCTTCCTAAAAGCGCTGCCCTGAAATTAGCCATATCCCTGAGATGCCTTTTCTCTTTCATTTCATTTTTAAAAATTTTATGACTCGGAACTCACATACCTGCCATGAGGAATGTTCCAGTGTCGATACCGGCAACACACAGTACGTGCTTAATCAAGAAGGATGGTGGTGTGTTGGTTCACAGAGCTGAGTTGGAGGCTAAACAATCCAAAAGTCGTGCATGAAGAAATTTAAAAGAAAAAAAAAGAGAAAAATTATTTATTTGAACAATGCTCTCGAATCTTCTATAGGTGAATGTATCATATGAACAAGAAGCAGTAAAGTCACTAGCTTCTAAAATGTTCCAGGAACCACAACACAGGAAATCACCACAGGACATGTGTAATGCAAACCCTTTGATTATCATAAAAGAAAATGAGAGGGATTTTTTTAAATATGTGAATATCAAAATCATCTTAAAAACCATTTGGAAAACAGGGGAAATTTATGGTTTTCATCCTTTGAGTTTACTGGGAATCTGGGTAGAGATGAATTGTTACCCTGTTTCCTTTGTTTTCATGTCTCAAATTTCACACCCTGAGGCTCTACCTTGAGGACAATTCTACAAAACTGCCTTAGTGTTACCTGAGTAAACTAATAAAAAAGAACTAAGAAGAGCACCAGAACTACCTGACACTTAACAAATTATGAGAGAAAGTGGAGTCATCCTCCAAAAACCAAGTATTAAGTGAATGTCTGACTTAAGATGTTAGGAATTCATAAAGCCCTGGTTAGAAACACAGTGGAACATAGGAAGTTAAGTCCCAGTCCCAGCAGCCCCAATTACACAGAGTTATAGATTTGCTTTTGCCTGCAAATCTGGGCTCACTGCATTTTGAGTAAAGTAAATGAATGTCATCTGACTCCGCTATTTAACCTCATGCTCCAACAAGCATTTTCTTTTTTTTCCCCCACAATTTTCTCTTATAATAAGTAAGTAATCACATGACTCATTTCTCTCCCTTTTCCTCTCCCTCTCTTTCTGCCCATTCACTTATGGTTTATAAATCACCATCAAAGTGTATTCACCTTAGGATACACCAGAACATAAATGCCTTAAGCAACAGTTTCTTCCTAAGTAATTAGAACGTCCCATCTTCAGACACTTGAATTCAGTGAAACTATGTAGATAAAGCACTTGTCTTAGAGATTCTAGAGTCAGCTGAAGTTTCAAATGCAGGCATAGCAAGAACTTCTTTTCTTAAAAGGATGTACTAGTTTTTATATTCACACCTCTAATATGGTTCCACATATTATTTCAGAGATGCAAAAAGTCCCCATTATTTTTTAAAAAATGGTAGAAATGAGTTAAAATAGTTGTGATTCAAAGTTTAATTGGTTGTTGCATAAAACAATGGATAAGAATGAAATTCTACTCTATTTTGAAGCCTCATGTTAGAATTATGATTACCTATTTTATCTCTAATCACCTAAAGTATGAAACATGAACCTACTCACTTTATTTAAATGAAACATCATCTGGGAAGAACACTGAATATGTATTTTTTTCATAATTAAAATAATTTATTTTCATAAAAACACAAGTGTCTGTATTTTAATATTTGCTAGTGATCCATTTTTATTCATTGTAAATTTTCTTAAGAGTTTCTTAACCAGGGCGCCTCGGAGGCTCAGTGGGTTAAAGCCTCTACCTTCGGCTCAGGTCATGATCGCAAGGTTCTGGGATTGAGCCCCGCATTGGACTCTTTGCTTGGCGAGAAGCCTGCTTCCCCCTCTCTCTCTGCCTGCCTCTCTGCATACTTGTGATCTCTGTCTGTCAAATAAATAAAAATCTTTAAAAAAATTTTTTTAATTAAAAAAAAGAGTTTCTTAACCTTTTCCCAGAAACCTGAATTTTATGTTATTCATGTAATTTGGTAAGGCACCTTATGTCAGTTCTATAATGACTACTTTAGGGTACAAGGAACAACCAGATAATTTTTTCAAAGTTCATTCAACATCTAACAACCAAATCAAAGGTATTCAGCTCAGTGTTGAGGTATTTTTCAATATCACCAAATGGAAAATGTGTGACACTCGGTTTGAGAAAATATTGATTGATCTCTACTCTCTATCTACTCTAATATACTAAAATTCTGGAAATCACAGGAGACCCCAGCTCTCTCTCATTTGTGCTTCATTACAAAAGTGGTATCATTGAATCTATTCCCAATCCACTCTGGAGCAGAACAAAGAAACAGAGAAGGGAGAGGCAACTTCAGAAAGAAATAAAGAAAGGACTCATATTAAAATTGAAATTTGAGCATGAGCTTGTGGGATAAATTAGATTTGGAAATACAGAGCTGTAGTTACTGTAAAGTGAGAAATAGATAATAGACATGCCTCAAAACAAAACCTAAATAAGACAGAAAAAATTCAACACACATTTCTTCTTCCCAATTTTTTAAATAAAATGAAACATACATATCGAAATGTAATAAAAGCAAAAATTCTAATGAATTGTCGAAGGAAATACCTGCAGCTACCACTCCCATCAAGAAATAGAACATTTCCAGCACCCTCAAGATCTTTCCTTACCTAACCTTGTAGTTACTACTCTCTTTCTCCTTCCAGATATCACCTCCATCTTGCTTCCAAAATTATCTTCACCTCAAATGCAAACTGCAAAATGCAAAATTCAAACCATTTTTGAAATTTACATAACTAGAACAATATACTACAAACTCATTCGTGTCTAGCTTATTTTCCTCAAGTTCTAAAGAGTTATCTAAGGATCCACCTCCATCTTGCTGACACTGATTAGGCCAGATGCAAATTCTGTGGCTAGTAGATAAGACACATTGATTGATTTGAATTGGTTGGTGTCCAATTTGGATACTGTAGTGCGGCCAACTTTACTAAAAACAATGCGGTATAAAATGAAGAGTAATGATCATCTAAAGGAAATCCAAGGCACTAAATATCTAAAAAGATGAAATTTGGGAAATTGCTGGCCCCTTTTCAGTGTTTGTTTGTTTTTTTTGTTTTGTTTTATTTCCTTTATGTTTTTCTTAAGATAGGTCTTTATGAATGAGTCTACCACTGATCAACCTATAAAAGTTCATTTTGAAGCACAGGGAAAAAAGAGTGAACTTCTTGTGTACCAATTGTAATCAATTCAAGTTCTGATTCATCAAGGAAGAATGTTGTAACAGATGAGCCATGACTTGTATGAGCTTTGATTTGAAAATATTTAGCAAATCTACTGTCTCTGAATTTGTTATTTCTTTTTTTCTTTCTTTCCTTATTATTTTTTTTTAAGTAGGCTCCATGTTAGAGAGAGGATAGCTTAGCTGAGATATGAGAAAGGGAAATGAAGACAGCTGGCACTAATACAAAGAGAATAACTATACTTTCTTTTAGTTAATCTCTTTCTTTTTTTTTTTTTACTTTTTATGTTGCAATGCATATGGATTGACAAAAGTTGTAAAATTAATACAATAGAGGTAGTCCCCTGGCACCCTTCACTCAGTTTTCCTCATGGTAATATCTTACACTATTTGAGTATAATATCAAAGCCAAGACATTGACATTCATACAATCCATAAACTATTCAGATGTCACCAGTTTTTTTTTTTAAGATTTTTATTTATTTATTTGACAGACAGAAATCACAAGTAGGCAGAGAGAGAGATTGGAGGAAGCAGGCTCCCCGCCGAGCAGAGAGCCCGATGTGGGGCTCGATCCCAGGACCCTGGGATCATGACCTGAGCCAAAGGCAGAGGCTTTAACCCACTGAGCCACCCAGGCGCCCCCAGATGTCACCAGTTTTATATGCACTTATTTGTAAGTGTGTGTATAGCTTTATGCGATTTTGTCTTGTATATAAGTTTGTGTAACTGCTATCACATAATCTCTGTTTTTATATTTTAGAAAGTAACTGCCACCTTTTATTTTGTTATCCTGAAGTTTGGTTGTGAAAGAAAAGGCAAAATAAGTGACTGGAACTTTACCAATTTTCATTTTAATGATTTGATTTAGTGGGGAACATTTTAACATTTATTGAGCACATATCACATGCCTATTCTAGTGTTTAATTGAATGTCTCATTAAGTGTATGAGTACACATTTCCCAGTACCAGTACATTTAATCCTAATGAAGCATTGAGACATTCCACTACTTCACTGATGTAGCAATTTATACATCAGAAAATCTGCTTTATCCAATACTTACTTTGATGTAAAGATTACACAAGTAGATCTAGCAATAGGAAATCACTTAAATTTCTCCCTTTGAATATTCTTGTCCTGGAGTTAAAGATCCTGACATTACTTTAAATTGAGTAACCAGATTCTTATTGGTCATTCAGTTCCACCACCAGAACTTTCCTAAGAGTCGACTAGGATTGTTCCTTACAGGATCTCGCTCTGGACTACTCTGAGGAGTTGAGATGATCATTTTGTAGCTCCAGCAAGTGAGGAAATATTTGCCATTAGAGAAATGCTGATTTTTCAGTTCTTATTCAACACATTGTTTTAATTCAATCTGTATTTTTTACCCAATATCTGTGCAATTGTATTATGAGTTTAGATACTACATGGTTGTTTGACAAGCAAGGTATCATTTTACAGTTGTGATTTAGATGATAGTTACAAATTCAATCATGGATTTAACCAAAGATGTTACACAACAAAAAAAAAATGTTTTTCTTTTTTTCCCATGAAATTAAAAGTACCAGGAAACTGTTTCCCATCAAAAGAAATAGACAAACAAGGAACAAATTCAAAGAAGAAATCAATTCTGCATCTGGTTCAGGAAGCACTTACTCAGATTCAGATGAAAGAAAAAAAATGTGGAAGTTTTGGATATACTTAGATTTTTCTCAACACTTGACACTGCCTAATAGCTGTTTTATAAAGTAAGATGTCAAAAGAAGCATTCAAAGTAATGTCCTAACTGGTAACATAGATTTTGGATAAAACATTGGCATTCTCTGATTAAGGGCAGAGAGGGGTTTATAAAACCAGAATGAGGGAAAAAAACAAAAGCCATACAATTTGTTTCAAAATTTCTTAATCTCAGCTCTTAAAGCATAGCTCTTCTAATTAGTAAGTCCCATCACAGGAGACTTCAGTAGAGTGTAAGACCTCATGTAAGAGTTGCGTAGAACTTGTTGGCTGCAGCTGTGGCTTGTCAGTCCTCATGTAGATGGAAACAGTTTGTTTGTGGTGAGCTGTTGGGTGGGTGTTTAAGTTCTCACTCTGAAGCAACACACCTAGTGACACATTGTTTACTTCCTAAGGTCTAAAACTGAAGTATTTTTACTAAATATCTGTGGAATGGCACAAAGCCTCTTTCTTGACCTTAGACAAAAATATATGCATTAC